AGTGTATTTGATTTTTTGCTTTAGGAGACATGGTTAGAGGTAAAGAAAAGACGAATACGTCATTGCGGAGGGACCCTTCTTGGAAGTATAGTGTACAAGTTGACATTGGCGGCGGAGAGAAGAGCTAAGTCTATTTAAAGTGCAACTTTTGTGAGAAAGTTGTGAAGGGCGGAGTAACCCGCATGAAGGAGCACTTATCATGCTCTCACAAGAACGTAGCACCTTGTGCAAAAGTGCCGGACAATGTGAAGGAAGAAATAAGTGCTTACATGAAGAAAACTACCACTGTCAAACACTTACAACAGCAGCAATTTGATGAAAGGGTTGACCAAGGTGCTTATTTTGGGAGCGAGAGTGGAAAGGGCTCTTCCTCCACTTATTTTCCACTATTGCTATTATTTTCCTGCTAAAAGCCTTAATTTTTCATTTACGCAATTCTGTGTTCGTGAGGCTTACGCCTCAGACCGCCTTGAGGCTTACGCCTCGCCTCACGGACGAAAACCGCCTCGAGGCGCAGTTACGCAATTTTAAACCTTGGAAGGAATTACAAAGTTCAATTCCTTTTTCTTCTTTCTCTCGCAATTTCTATCTCTTCACATTCGATCTCTTGCTTTTCCCTTTAGGAAAATATGATATGATTTAGATGAAGTAAAACAAGGAAATTTATTAAAAAATATGAAAAGAAAATCCAACAAACATTCTTCCCACTTTTCCTCGATCATTCCTCTCGTTCATTGAAATTTCTTCCAAAATATCACTTCGTTAGCAATGAGAATGAAAAGGAATTGATAAATTTTATCCTCCCACACAATCATTCTCTACAAATGGCAAAACGGATCTAAAAAATCTTCCTTCGCATGCGTTCGGTCCGCCCAGACATTCCACCCTTCTGTTTTGTTGGCAAAACTGACCCCTTATGGGGTCGCGACTTTTATTAGGAGGGCTGGCCGGTTCGGTTGAACCAGCCACCCAAACCCGGTCCTTTACATTATGATTTTGACTTTTGTTCATTGTGGCTCAGGCGACTTGCTAATTTAGCTGTGATTCACAATTTCTCAAGTTTCTGGGCCTTAATGCATTGAGAAATTGACGATTAATGTATTGAATTTCGGGTTTTTTTTATATTTTTTTCGTGCTATCTGAGATTTGAATTCCCTGATCTTTGTCTATTAGGTAACTGAAGAAGAGCTTGCAGCACTCTTTGTGAATTGTGGACAGGTAACTTTGTCTGTCTATTCCTTGATTTTTTTTCTTTTGGCAGTGTTATCTCATGGCTCTAAATTTCCTTCTCATTTTTTGAAGGTTGTTGATTGTCGTATATGTGGTGATCCAAACTCTGTTCTTCGATTTGCTTTTGTAGAGTTTACTGATGAAGGTAGTTTTGTCGGCTGCAATTTGTCTATTGGGTTACTGTTACAGCTTAAATTTATGTTAATGGCAATTTATTCATTTTATGTGGTCTCCGGGTTGTAAAACTTCAGAAGGTGCAAATGCTGCCTTAAGTGTATCAAGGACATTGCTTGGGTTTTACCCCGTTAGAGTGCTCCCTTCAAAAACTGCAATCGCACCTGTTGACCCAAAATTCTTGCCAAGGGTAAGAAAAAGCTTAAAACTGTCTAACTGGTTTACAATGTTTACTTCACAAGCTTCAATGAATTGCTGCCAGATATCACCTTGTTAATTATTTTACTTTTAGTCTGAAGATGAGCGTGAAATGTGCACAAGGACCATCTATTGTACAAATATTGATAATAAGGTAGACTCTAGATTATCTTAATTGTTCATAAATATAATCTCATGTCTTTTTTACCCGTCTTGAACCTGTTCATGTCTTCGTCGCTTAAAGGTCAACCAATCTGAGCTCAAACTTTTCTTTGAAAGATCATGTGGACCGGTCAGTTGCTTCTACTTTTGATCTTAACAAAATTTTCTTTTGTAGGATGAAACAAAACTTGACTACTACTGTAGAACTGAAATTATCTTGTTACATACTTTACAGGTGTATCGCATGAGGCTTCTTGGAGACTATCATCATGCCACTCGCATAGCATTTATTGAATTTGCTAGGGTTAGTGTTTTTCACCTTTCTGATATGTTTTGTTTGGGACAGCTTTCTTACTGCTTCTTAAATCAGCTTTATAGTAGAAAATTAAAAAATTTTGTACTAGAAAGCTGCTGTAAGAAGCAGTAAGAAAGTCGTTCCAAACGAAACCTACATGTTCTTATGGTTCCCAACAGAGAAAGGTAATTTGTATTTTGTACCTCAAAAGTGAATTGTATTATCAGGATTTTTGCTTTTTGTAGGCCGAGAGTGCAATTGCTGCACTAAACTGTAGTGGCGCTAGATTGGGGTCCTTGCTAATAAGGTAGTTTTCCCTCCTAGCTTTTTGCTTTTGGTATTTTTCCATTACTTCTGCACCTAATCTTTGTGTTCATAAATATGTATCAGGGTGAGTCCTTCAAAGACTCCAGTGCGCCCTCGGGCAACTCGGACGTGATGCATATAAAAGGTACTAGATAGTTCTTCTATTGCTTGTTTGGATTTGATTTGGTTTCTTTTGATGTATCTTAACATATCGGGAGGGTTTTCTTTTCATTGGCATGTCGAGTTTTGGTTGAAATCTCAGAAATTTATCACAAACTGATGTTTGATTAGATAGCTATTGTCAAGCTTTTTGAGATTTTTAGATTTTTTTATTGAACTTATTCTAAGGTTTTCTTATTGGTAATATACTATTTATGCATTTTGGCCAAATAGATTACAAGTTGGGCTGCTAGCAACATTTTTAAATTTTGCTCTGTGATTTAGGTTTTGTTTGAACAGCTTTCGTACTGTTTTTTAAAACGGTTTTCTTAAAAAAAAATTTGTGCTAGAAAGCTGTTTAAAAAGCAAGAATAAAGCCATCCCAAACGAAGTCTTATTCATCCCAGTTGAATTAGATCAACAAAAAAACCCTAATAGCTGATAGTTATAGTTAAAATTAATTCTTTTATCTTTATTTGTTGGTTATGGGTAACATTAGAATTTTACCAACACTAATTGATAGAGAACTAGAAGAGAGAGAGAGAGAAATTTTGAGATTTAATACAAGACTAATGCAACTGAGTTGTCTTTGAAAAAAAATAATGCTAAACAGGTAATATAAGTAAATTTTAGTAGAGTTTAATAAATAATCGTTATAAAATGAATCAATTTAGTTCCTATCTATTTGATTTTTTTTAGGGCTGCAAATGAACCGATTCGAGCCGAGTGTGTTCGTATTCATATTTGGTTAAGAGTTTGATTTGAGCTTTTTTGTTTGTGTTCAAATTTTATTTGTTTAAATTCATTTTGTGCTTATCGAGCTTTAAACAAACGAGCATTATCAAGTTATGAACGATCTCTATTTCTAGATGTGCTTTAATTTAATAAATGAGCTTTATTGAACCATCTAATAAACAATTATATCAAGTCTATTCGTGAACATATCTAGTGAAGTTTTTTTTTTAATTATCAAACAAGCTCGTTCACGAATATATTTAATGTGTATTCTTGATCTATCAAATGAGCTCGTTCATGAACAAACGATCTATGATTAATCTTATATTAATCTATGAGCTCGTTTATTTTAAATCATATCAATCCCAGAATTATCTCCCACATGATACACCATAGCTTGAGACTCAATTAAATCAATTGGAACCTGAACAAAAGCATTAGGAACTAAACCATCATTCAAAAGAGGGGGAAAGATAACATCGGAAAAAACAACAGGGATCATATCACTAGCAGCCCCCTCAGGCACCACAGCCGTAGCAGCCCCCTCAGGAACCACAGCCTTAGGAGAAACCGAGCAATCCTCACCCAACAAAACAGTGACAGAAAGCGAACCACCCGAGCAGTCCACATTAACTGTAGGCAAGACAGACGGGGCAGAGACAGTCCCAAGCATTGACAAAACAGGACAAGTATTAAAAACAAGATGACCATCAACACTAGTACAAGTTCGATTCACTTGAATAGGAGGCAAGACTCCATCCACAACATCCTCACGAACCTGCAGAGAGGAATCGATGACAATAGGAATGGCATTTTTCACAACAGTCATAACACCAATCTCAGGGAGCAAAGCCCCCACAACATGCTCAAAATTAGACATAGAAGGATTAGGAGCAGGGGAAAAGGGCTCGACAACCCCATCAACACACTTATTAATAACCAAGTTATCCTCCAAAATACCCTCCACACTACCAGTCATAGTTGGAACCACACCAGGATCACATCCCGGGACTGTGTGAGGTAAAGGAACAACAGCAGAAGCAATCCCAACAACAGGTTCCACGACAGTTTCAGTTACAGACTGCACAACAGGCACCGCCGTCCCCAACGGATTCTCGCCCTCAACAGCTTACAAAATTAAATCAACTGTTCGCTTAGGATGCATATTACCACAATCATTAATCGAGTGGCCAATCGACTTACACCGACCACAATGCTTAGACAATTCTTCCATTTCCACTGATTGAACATAGCCAAGTTTTTCTGGGCCAAGCCAAATACAATATGGATATTTCTTAGTAATATCCAACTCCACAAGCACTCGAGCCACCGAGGGATGGAAGCCAACCGCCATAGCATTATGCCATTATCATTTTTGAGAGGTTTACCAAACAAATACCCCAAAGCATGCAAGATACGGGGAGAAAAAAAAAATGCGGACGCAAATTAGGAAAACACACCCAAATGGGAACAACCGGCGATTCAACGTTAACATCAAAATAAGGAGACCACTTAGGAAGCTTCATATAACAGTTCAGCACAAAGTAAGAATGATGTGCAAAAACCTTACAGTAATCTAAATCGTTGCTCAGCTTAATCAGTGAAAAATTTTCGGACAGCATCGAGGGATGGCCGACGATTCGGGAAACCAACCAAGGACGAGAACCTCAGCTTTAGAAACCCAAAGAGAAGGCAAACCCCGGTGAGAAGCCGCTTTAAGCTCGGGAAATTCAATCTGGGAGGAAACACCATAAAGCGTCTCAAGGAAGGACCGAGAAGAGGATTGATTGTTAAGAAAACCAGGATCTCGCACACGATTGACCGCCATGAAGGACGGAGGAGGGAAAATCACGACTGCTAATTAATCATGTTAGACTTTGAGTTAATTTTTTTTAACCAATCAAAGTTTTATTTTGAACAAATTTTTTTCCCACTACTTTTAAAAAAATTCTAACTATAAAAATAATTTTAAAAAATAATAAGAAAATTATATCAAATAAAACTAATTTTAAATAGGTTCATTTTGACCGGTAAGATTTGATAACTCCAAATTTACTAGAAATAATTCCGTACGGAGATAAGACATAGAACACCATCCAGAGCTTAATCAGAATGTGTCATATCAACGACACCGAGCCGTGGTATCGAGCGGTACTGAGGAGTACCAATCACATGAGTAACGTGACACATTCTGATTGGTCTCGTGAAGATATTCGGCTTTGGCCCAGAATAATTAATCCCAATTTAGATGATTTGGAGCGTACGATTACAAACAAATTGTTCAGCATTTCAAGCCATTCATTAAATTAAAGGAATCTAAAAGTGTACATGCTGCAAACGGTTTCACACGGCAGACGACAGTAATGAGTTATTGTAAGTGTTGACCTTGACTTAGGATTTTTTTATTATTATTATTTTTAAATGAGGCTTTCTTGAAGAAATTTCGTCGTAGACTTTTATTATTATTATTATTATTAGTTTATTACTGTATGACTGAGAGAACAAATATCGTGCAAGTTGTAAAAAATCAAAAGCTCCTGTTATTGATTGGATACTTTTAGTTTGGAGGTGGTCAACTACCAGAAGGTCAATTGCATTCATGGCATCATCAAAAATTGCTTTGTCATGAATAGGGCAGAATCAACTTTAATTCTTAGGAGGATAAGTTTATAAAAAAATAAAAATATATATAATACAAAATTTAAAATGAATTTTGATATTGCATTATATATGTGGAGTAAAAAAATTTATAAATTTTGCATTTTTTTATAGTGTTGAGCAACAGTAGAGAGCAACAGAGAATCAACAAACAAGTGAAATGTTGCTCGGGATTTACCGGTGGCGTGAAAAGGGTCGGCTAGGGCAAAGAAATAAAATGAGGAGGGGCAAATTACCTAATAATTCTTCTTTTAAATATGTTTTTTAATTTTTTAGGCAGATAATCTCTCTTTTAAAAGTTTTTAAATTCTTTTCTAATTGTCCCCCGGGCATTGCACGGTTCTACCTCTGGTCAAGAGTTCAGATTATTATCATAATATTCATGAAAATAATGTAAAATTATCGCCGCATTTGCTTATTCAGATTTATTTTTTGTTGAATATTACAATAAAATATATTTAGGTTTTGTTTGGAACATTTTTCTTATTATTTTCTATCATATAACTCATATTGTTTTGTTAGTTGGGAGCTTGAGTCTTTTTATGTATATGATATATGTGTGAGTTTATCTTAATTGGCCAGAGCGAATGTATAAAAAAATTTATATGTAAGTTTTTTCGTATAATTTTTTTTAATAAAAGAAAAAATATAGTGATCGAAAGTTATTCCAAAGAAAGCTTTAATTTGGGGCGGTTTTTAGTTGGGGAGCTAAATTAATGGTATCCATTCAATGTAACTATGGCTCAGTTTTGAACTTTTTTTATTATTATGAAAACTATAATTAGTTGGAAAGATATTAATATGAGATTTTTTTATTATTATTTTAAACTTTTTTTATTATTATGAAAAAACTTGAAAAGCTTCACAGCTTGGGATCATGGCGCATAATTTAGTTGGAAATCTATTAGCTAAAATAGCTGTGAAATTATTATGAAAAGTAGAATTACAAGTATTATAATTTTTATATTAATTTAATCTGAGCTTTCACTAGGGATGTCAATTCGGGTCAACTGGTCGGGTTCGGGTCGAACCTGGAACTGACCCGGCACTATTCGGGTAACCCCGAACCGACTCGTTTTTAAAAACGGGTCAGGTTTCCGGACCCGAACCCGACCCGATTCGGATCCGGGTCAACTCGACTCGACACGAATAACCCGGAGTAGTCTAAAAATTGCTAGTGTTTATGGTCAAAATCGGGCCAATCCTCGATTTTCGGGTCAATATCCGGTCAAAATGGGTCAATCTCGGATTTCTGGGTCAAATAGGAGTTTTCATGTCAATTTCGAGTCATTTTCGGGTCAACTCGACTCGACACGAATAACCCGGAGTAGTCTAAAAATTGCTAGTGTTTATGGTCAAAATCGGGTCAATCCTCGATTTTCGGGTCAATATCGGGTCAAAACGGGTCAATCTCGGATTTCCGGGTCAAATAGGAGTTTTCATGTCAATTTCGAGTCATTTTCGGGTCAATTTCGGGTTGCTGGGACAACCCGAACCCGATCCGATTTTTAAAACGGGTTGATTTATTGAACCCGAACCCGACCCGTTTTGGGTTCGGGTTGACTCTAACCCGAATTTTTTCAGGTCGGATTCGGGTCGTGTCAAAAATTGACACCCCTAGCTTTCACTCTAGCTTGAATGCTGAAAGATCGAGCTGAGTAAAAGTACGAGGCCCAAGGTGGATAATAAATCTTGAGATTGACCTGTTTCGGAGCTTAATTTTTTGTTTTGAATCTAGACAAAAAATAAATAATTATTTCAATATAAATGTCAATGTATTAATTAATATTAATTGAGCCGACTCAACAAGCTAAAGAAGCCGAGTTGGGCCAAGTTTACAAGTTATGTTCTTATTTCATA